CTTATTTGTGAGGATATTGGAACTTCACCTCAGAACCGGGGTACTGTTCCTTAGCCTTTTCACTCAGTGCATACAAAATTGATTTGGACATGGTTTTAGTTCATATGCCTAAGAACATGCCAGAAGCCTACTAAAATCTGTCATAGCATATACAAAAATTAACAAATGCCTGAAAATTTGAGTCATAGAAGGATACAATAATGGTGACAAACAAAAGCAGCAACAAATCAAAAAGAAACCTGGAAGTTATAAGGGTGAAAAAACATAGAAGTATTAATTTTTTGGACTTCTCTTGAGTTTAAGATTTACAGTAACAACATGCTATAACCTGAAGGGCTGTAACTTAAGTGAAAGCCCACCTGTGCACTAGCATATGGATGTGTGTGTGTGGTTGTAGGTATGGACAGGGATTCTCCTACTTACATTAACTTCTTCTTTTGAGATGGTGTCTGGTGCAGGCTTACGTGAAACATAATCCTTTCCAATCTCAGCCTCCGGCTAGCTGAGGTCCCAGGCACACACCACTGTGCTAGCAGTGGGTTGAAATGGACCTTTCAAAATGTTTTTCCTGCACCGACCTCAAACCAGGATCCTTCTGATCTCTGCCTCGAGTAGTTAGAATCTGGTACCTGGCCTTTTTTCTTCTTCTTTTGTGCCAATCTTAGGGCTTGAACTACAGCCAGGCCTGGGCACTGTTCCTGAGTTGTTTTTGCTCAAGCCTATCACTTGAAACAGTTCTTTTTTTTTTTGGTGATTCATCAGAGATAAGAGTCTCACACTTTCCTGTCTGGATTGGCTTAGAACCATGATCCTCAAATCTCAGCCTCCTGAGTAGCTAGGATGACAGGTATGAGCCATCAGTGCCAGTTTTGGCCCTGTTCTGGGAAAAATTTGTCACTGTTTTAGGAAATTTCATAGAGAGGGGCTTTGGTTTCTATGTCTACAATATAGTCTTTGTGACTAGAACACACTGGGACTTGGTTGCTTTGGCAGATGTTAAGAACACCCACGGATTCAGACTTAAATAATGGAACATTTGTGAACAAGACTCTATCCAATGAAACACACTAAGCCACATCATTTTATTTTCTGGCACATACACCATTATTCAACCAGTCTTATTTCTGATTACTACATGAGTGGACCAGCTGAAATTGTCTTTCTTGGTTCTCTTGCTCTTGTAAATTTGGGCAGTGTTACGTCAGACTTTCGTTCCATCAGTTACAAGCCTCAGTCTTTTCCCTCACATGCTAAGAAATACAATCAGAGGCAATTTAATGCCAGATTGTCTTCTAAGTGATGACTATATGAGATTAACTGGTGTGCCTCTTATGGACAGCACTGTCCCCTCTCTAATGTCCTCGTTTGCTGATGTAGTCCAGTCCCCTATGTATTATATCTTAATTTTTCTCTTTGGCTCAAGGCTAGCTAGTAGTTACTACTTGAGCCACAGTGCCACTTCCACTTTTTCTGCTTATGTGGTACTGAGGAATCGAACCCAGGGCCTCATGCGTGTGAGGCAAGCACTCTACCACTGAGCCATCTTCCCAGCCCTAACCAAGTTTTTGTTTTTGTTTTTTTAAAGAACAGAATTACAGATTAAATGGAAAAGACTCTAAGAAGTCCTTTGGTCCTACTCTACATTTGGTGAGAACTGCAATAATTCTTCAGAGGATTCAATGTTGATTTGGACCTGCAGGTTGCTGATTTGTTACCCTTTGAAATGGTAGTTTTCCAGTATTAGGCATTTCGATGTCTTAAAAATGTTCCCCTCCATTTTAGCTTTAAGTTCATTATACTTTTCCACCCTAACACTTGGTGTACGTGGGATTCCTTTTTCAATCATGAGTTTTCTTAATACTCAGCTTACAGTCATCCATAGTATGCATAGTATGAACTTTCAACTTCTTTTAGCCATCTGGGTAGTGTGTTACATACTGTCTTTGGAAAATAGAGAAAATAATCACCTAACATCATTTTGTTGTGTAGTTCAGAGAAAGAAGCCCACCTGAAAACTTGCAAGGCTCCACCATTTACTACCTTTTATATGACCTCAGAAAATTTACTTCATCTCATTTAAACTTTCTCAAGAACAAAATGAAAGTATTTATCTTATGGGCTGCTATGAACATTAAATAGCACAAAGCTCCATGAAATCATTATGTATTGTAAGTGATACATAAGTCTTACTTCTAAGTGCCTAATTCAGGCACAGAATCATCAATAATCTCAATAAACAATGAATATTAGCCCCTAGCACACTACCTTATATACAACTCTCAGTAAAACTTATTATTCTGTCCATCATCCTTCTTATGACTTAGTTCCTCGATGTCTCACATGAATCCTTTATGGAAATTATCCCATTGATCTAATTGTAGTCCTAACAGATATTGTATAGTGTGTGGCAATTTTTATTTGAATGTAAATATCCTAAGAAAGCCTATAATAGACAAGAGTTCACCAGGAAAAAGTTCCTCTACTTATTCTTATAGAAAAAACTGGCACTTCAAACCTACTGACTTAAACCAGGGTACATGTAAGTAAGGCTAAGGAAAGAGGATCACTAGTTCAGCCCTAGCCTGGGACAGTGAGCAAGATCCTGTCTCAAAAAAAAAAAAAAAAAAGCAAAAGCTGTTGGTAAATATGTGGCTAAGGAAAACAGCAAAGAGGTGAGCAGGTTAAAAACAAACCCACGACTCTGTCAACAGTGGCTGCCGCCTGGAAGCCTAGCTACTCAGGAGGCTGAGATCTGGGGGAAGTGATTTGAAGCCAGCCTCAGCAGGAAAATCTGTAAGACTCTTTTATCTTAAATTAATGCTCCCTTATCACACCCAGAAGTGCAGGTGTGGTTCAAGTGGTACAGCACCCATCTGGAGTCTGGATAGTCTTGAGCACAAAAGCTCAAGGACTACCTGAGCTCAAGCCCAAGGACCAGGAAACAAAAGCAAGAAAAACAAAACAAAACAAAACAAAAAACCTACAGCCAACCAAAACAAAAACAAAAACCCCACCAGGATAGTGCACTATCTTGGAAGGCCACTGCAACTGACAGTGATTTTTTTTTGGGTCCGGTCGTGGGGCCTGAACTCTGGGCCTGGGCGCTGTCCCTCAGCTCTTCAGCTCAAGGCTAGCGCTCTACCACTTGAGCCACAGCGCCACTTCCGGCTTTTTTCTTTTTGCTTATGTGGTGCTGAGGAATCGAACTCAGGGCCTCAGGCATGCAAGGCAAGCGCTCTACCACTGAGCCACCTTCCCAGCCCCTGACAGTGATTTTTATTACTGTATTTAATGAACAATCCAGTGTGATAATTACCCATTAATCTAGTTGCCTCTTTGTTTAGAATATGGCTGTGTAAAGTTTCCCCACTGTGCTTACAGGAGAGAAGCACCCCAAATACTTTTGAATGGCTGGAATATAGACAAGAACTTCTAAGATACTACTGTCAACGGAGAAGAGGTACCTGCATGATTAACGTTTATCCAGTATATTTTAGCATGCTGATGCAGATTAAGGAGCTTTGGGCGCAAATAAGAAAGTGACTAACACGAGGTAAAAATCCATTTGGTGCCTCTGGCAAAGAAGGGAATTAACTAGCTTGAGTAATTTGGAAATAGTTGAGTTTTATGGCTCATGCTTTGTTAGCATGGACACTGGACTTAAAATAGAAAAATGCTAGGGAAAGATAGACTAAGCCAGTGTAATAGAAAGGACTTCATCTTTTCACCAACACAAAGTGATATTAAGTGAGGCAAGGAGGAAGGCAGTGAGGCCCGTTTACAAAAAAAGGGAATCAAGCAGGGCGCTGGTGGCTCCTGCCTGTAATCCCAGCTACTCAGGAGGCTGAGGATTGGTTTGAAGGTAGTCCACGCAGGGCAGTTTATGATGCTTATCTCAAATTCCAGAAAAAAGCTGGAAATGATGCTGTTGCTCAAACGGTAAGAGTGCTAGCCTTGAGAAGTGGCTTAGACAGCTCCTAGGCCCAGAGTTCCAGGCCCAGTAAAAAGAAAGAGTGGGGGAGGGGAGGGAGAGAGAAGAAAAGAAAAAGAGAAGAGACAAGAAAAGGGGATCTGTCCCGGAGGGCTGTGCAAATGTGATCACTGGAACCCCCAGGCAGGGAAAGTGTTCACCTCCCTCCCAAGCTAGTTATTCGAGGCTACGTCTGGGTTGGTGGCAACCTTTTCTTTTGTGCTGCTGTTAACCCCTACGTGCTTATTCTGATCTATCTGTGAGTGAAAATAATACCCTTCTTCGAAAGAAAACCGCAGTGACGCCAGGGCAGGGTTTGCGAGAGGCCTTGTTCGCAAGCTAACTCTTAACAGGGGGAAGGGCTTGGCTCTACACGGCGAGTCGGGCTGCGATGATGCTCCCGAAGGCGATCAGGCGCTGCTGGAGCACGGTTCGGAGCAGGTCGAGCTTGACTCCCGGGGTCGGGTACGGCGAGAAGCGGTTCTGGCGGTTCCGGAGAAGACGGGCCGCCCCCCGGCCGCCCCCGGGGCCCCGCCGGCCTTCGGTCCGCACGCTCGGCCGCACCGTCGGACGCGGTCCCGGATACACCGCCTCGGGTCCGGCCACCAGGAAGCTGTCCCCGGACACCATGGCCAAGGCCTGGGCCGAGGGGCTGAGGTCGCCATGGGAGCAACGGTACGCCACCCGGTCCCGCTGGTCGCCGGCCGACAGAGACGCACAGTTCAGGGCCATCGTCAAACACTGCCCGCAGTGTCTGCGTCAAACGGGGGCCTTCGAAGCTCCACAGGTCTGTCCGGCCCACCTCGGACGCGAGGCCTCACTAACCCGGGGGCGCCATCACGTAGCGCGGCGGCCTTCAAAACACAACACAAAACCTCGCGGACGCGCTTCTCGCGAGCGTACGCTGCGCATGCGCAGCCGCGCCGCGCCGCGAAGAACGTGCGTGACGGACGTTGGTACGTCATGATATAATCCGCCGGCCCGGACGTACTTTCTGAGCGTGCGCAGTGCGGGCGTGGGTCGCGACCCTCCGGCCTAAGTGGGGAAGGGGGCGGTGTTGAGATGGGGGCGGCGGCGGCGGAGGCGGATCGCACCCTCTTCGTGGGTAACCTCGAGACTAAGGTCACCGAGGAGCTCCTCTTCGAGCTGTTCCACCAGGTAAGCGGCTCTGCGGTCCGTTGGGCGGCTCGCTTGGGGGAGGCATGTCCAACGTCTTTCCCGCGCGGGCCTGGCGTGGGGTCGGGGGGGGCTTCCCCCGCAGGTGGGCTGTTGGGGGGCGGGCTTGGGGGTGCGCCCGGGGGCGCGGAGGCTCGCGGAATCGCCGGGCATCCAGCCCCAGAGTGACAGCGGGGACCCCCGTGGCGGGACCCCGCATCCACCCGTCCCCGCGATCAGCGTTCGGGGGGCCCTGCGGCCGTCGGTCACCCGCGCGGGGCCGTTACCGACCACGCTCTCGCCTTTGTCCTCCTCGCCCCGTCTTCCTTTTGAGGTGATTTCCTCTCTGCCCCCCCTTGACTTCAGACGTTGTATCTTTCGTATTCCTTTCCGCCGAGGTCTGCTTGTGAATGTCCGAGCTCACTACAGATTCCTCCGCCTTCCCCCCCCCCCCCCCCCCCCCAAGAATTACACAACAAAAAGAAGAATAAACCCACACTCTTTGATAGGAAATCAGCCTCGTAGCGTTTCGGGATCAGGATACTGGAAGGATTCTAAGTATCTTGTTCCTTCTGGTTCGAATGAGCCACACTGTAACAGCGTTTGATACAAAAGTTACTTTTTGGGGGGGTGGGTGGGGTGGGGGTGGAGTGGGGGAGGTCGGGGAAAATCAGTTCTTGTCCGGGACTGGCGCTCACATTTCCTGGCTGGGGGAAACTTTGGAGAGCCCCCGCCCTCTCCCCCCCCATTGGTCACATTGTTTAAAACGTCACAGGGTGGTGCGGAATGGAAATTCAGTGAATGGCAACTTCACTTTGCTCACGGGGTTCCCTTCCCCAAGGAAATCGGTATCAGTTTTAAGTGATAAACAGCTGTTTTACCCCTAACCGAAATGAAATCCGTGTGTTCCCTGGCTGCTTACTGTTTTTTAAGTTCCTGGTTGCATTTCTGTTGCTTTTGAGCGTTGTCTTCTTTTTGACTTGTAAAGTGTGAGTATTTTCTTGAAATCGCCTTCTTTAAATTCTCAACACTTCTGTTTGTAGGCTGGGCCAGTAATAAAGGTGAAAATTCCAAAAGATAAGGATGGTAAACCAAAGCAATTTGCCTTTGTCAACTTCAAACATGAAGTATCTGTTCCTTATGCAATGAATCTTCTTAATGGAATCAAACTTTTTGGGAGGCCCATCAAAATTCAGTTTAGATCAGGTAACTATGACACAATGTTACAAGGAGCAGGGTTCCTTTGCTGTTTTGTTTTTAAGTTACGCGCAGTTTTAAATACATTTCTGGATGAAAATAATTTCTTAAATTCTGTGAGTAGCAAACTTATCCCTGAAAAAGTTAAACTTGACACATGGGTTTTTGAAAATTGTCCTATTTAAACCGAGTTTAAAATTTTATCTTAGATTCCTAAGAACATGTATGCTTTATTGCGAAATGTGTGTAAATTTAAAATCCATGCTCTTAACAGCATGGATTTTTCTCTCTGAAAATGCTTGTCGAAGCAACTTTCACAGTTTTGGTTCTTGATCATGTCTTGAAACCTTCCATAGATTCAGGATTATAATTTAGCGTAGGAATCAAATATGGCCAGAATGGATATTTAAAATAGTATCTTACTTGGAATGTTTGATTTTGCAAACTTCATATTATGCACTTAAAATTTTTACTGAAGAAAAACTAAAGCAATTGGCAATATTAGATGTTTTTATTTTTTAAATCACATTTCTCTTTTTGGATCGATTCTTTGTGAGGGAGACAAAATTTCAAATTAACCTTCTTGTCAGCTGGAAATGTTGAAATTCTTTCATTCTAGGAAGTAGTCATGCCTCACAGGATGTCAGTCCTTCCTATCCCCAGCATCAAGTTGTAAACTCAAGCCCTACCTCCACATCTCCTACCAGGTAAAATTTCCCACTTACTGTTAAAGTCACTTTTCAGAAATTTCCTCAGGTAATGAACTCAAAATCCATAATGAGTGACTGACTTCTTCCTTATATTCCTATGTCTTTGCTCTTCTGCTTTATTACTTACGTTGCTTTGCACATCATTTATTTTAAGTAGAATAACAATAGTATATTCTGATTTTTAAAAATTGCTTCAATAGGAGAATGGATTAGAAAGGGCAAGAATGGAATTAAAACACCAATTAAGAAGCTGTTGCTAGCAGGTCATGGCTGGCTCTTGCTGGCTTACCTTTCAGGAGGTTGAGATCTTAAGATTGTGGTTCATAGCCAGCACCTGCAGGAAAGGCTGTGAGACTTTCATCCAATTAGTACCAAAAAGCCAGGAGTGGTGCTGTGGCTCAAAGTGGTAGAGAACTGAATTCAAACCCAAGGACTGGCACACAAAAAAGAAGCTGTTGGTAGCTTCCTGGCAGGAGAATTGGAGTGAGAGTGGTAGTTTGGAATAAGGCAATACCTAGAGCTGTAAAGAACTGAATAGGTGTGAGGAGATACTGGAAGGTAGTAGCAAGCAGTAGTACAAAAAAGGTCTCCTTTAGATTGACCAGTCTAACATAGAATCCCTTGTCTGTCTCGCTTTCAGTCATGTATTTCTTAGAATCGTGAAAATATCCTGCCTGTATTTTTCTTTTTGCTCTCTAAGAGCAGATACTGTGTCTTACTCCTTTTCATCTTGGAGAATTGGGTTATATTTACAATGATGATGTTTAGTAAAGCTTGTTAAATGAATATGTTAATTTTCTTGTTTTTGACAGATATGAAAGGACTGTGGATAATATGACTCCATCATCACAGATAATTCAGAGATCATTCTCATCTCCAGAAAATTATCAGAGACAAGCAGTGGTAGGCTAATTATTTTTCAAATTGAATTGCTAAGCAAAGTCATACTAAGTTAAAATGCTTAGGGCATACCAGGTAAAATGTTTGTTATTAACTATTGTCCAGTTGTAGGTTTTTTCCTAAAGCCCTTTAGGCATAAATTAAGTATGGAAATTATTGGTACTTACTGTGTAGCTCTGTTGTGGAACGCATGAACCTCCTGCCTTAGCTCCCCAAGTGCTCGGATTTCAGGTGTGTGCCAACACATCCTTTTTTTTTTTTTTTTTTTTTTTTAATAACATTTTCTCAAATCTTTGTTAGACTAGCTCGATCTTCATAGATTGAGTATTCATTTTATCTTTCACTAGGTATGTAGTTTATATGACATATAGTATGTCAGTATAGACTTCAAAGATAAGTAAGAGTAAACCCACATTTTGTGTTGTAGTTCTCTTGACTGTCATTAATGCTTATATATAAATACTGGAGATTAATTTTCTGAAGCCCTTTTTACCTATTCTAAATGACCTTTTTTTGGTGTCTGTCCTGGGGCTTAAACTCAGGGCCTGTGTGCTGTTCCTGAGATTTTTTTCTCAAGGCTAGCTAGCACTTTACCACTTGAGCCACAGCTCTACCTTTTTCTGAGTAGTTTACTGGAGACAAGAGTCTCATGGACTTTCCTACCTAGGCTGGCTTCAAACCATGTGATCCTCAGCTCTCAGCATCCTGAGGAGCCTAGGATTACAGATGTGAGCCACCAACCCCTGGCTTCTGAATGATTTTTTTTAATCTTTAACTCTTTAGTATACTTATGTTTTCTAGGTCAGTTTAATGGTTTGTTTCATATCACTGAGTTTGGGCTTAAAACCTTAGCTGTTTTACTAATTTCTCACAGTGCTACTCATTGGCCATGCTGGTTTCTGTTGGAGCGAGGGGGGTGGAAAAGCCATTCTTCTACTCCTTTTTTTTTTTGGTTATTGTTTTATGTCAGTCGTGAGGCCTGAACTCATGACCTGGGTGCTATCCCTGAGGTTTCTTGTTCATGGCTAGTGTTCTATCACTTTGAGCCACAGCTCCATTTCAGGTTTTCAGATGGTTCAAGGCAGATAGCATCTCATGTCCTCAGGCTGGCTTTGAACATGGTCCTCAGATCTCAGCCTCCTGAGTACCTAGGATTACAAGTGTGAGCCACCAGTGTTCAAAACATGACTTGGCCTGTGATCCTCAGACTTCTATATTTTACAGACCTGCATTATTATAGCTTTGTACAGTAAGAATTTGAGAACACTGGCTTAGTATCACATCTCTTATTTTCCCCATACGAGTTCATCTTGCATGCTATTTTTGTCTCATCTTCCCTACACAATTACTTTCCACTATTTGAAAGGTAAAGTCAGATTTCTCTAGTTATTAGGCATCCCATTGTCTTATTCCAGTAAAGCCTTACATTGTTAGAACTGCTTCCATAGTACTTTGAGGCAGAATTACTTGGTTTTCTTTGAACAGATTGTATTTTTTTTCTTCTGTTATTGTTGTTCATACACTTTCCTTAAATTGGTCTATTCATCCTTTCTATACTCAAATCCTATGTCACATTAGACAGTAACTCATAATCATCTTGTGTGACCTAATAGTCCAAAGTAGGAATGCTGATAAAACTATCAGCAGTAGGTATTCATCCAAGTGAGTGAAGCTTTTGAATTACTTTTTGTTTTATTTAGGTTCTGGTTTTCCTTTGTTATGTGGTTAACTCTGACTAAATACGTATTAGCTCTTCTAATTTGCAGTTAATATTTCCTTATTTATGTTTTCCCTTAGATGAACAGTGTTTTGAGACAGATGTCATATGGTGGGAAATTTGGTTCTATGCGTGTGGATCAATCTGGATTTTCATCATCAGTTCAGTCACATGGTCATAACTTTAACCAGTCTTCAAGCTCCCAGTGGCGCCATGATACACCGTCATCACAGCGCAAAGTCAGACAGAGTTCCCATCCCTACCTAGCAGATAGACATTATAGCCAACAGCGTTACACTGATCATGGGCCTGACTACCATTACAGAGGAATCAGAGATGATTTCTTCTATGAAGACAGGAGTCCTGATGGCTGGAACCATGACTACGATAACAGAAGAGACATTAGTAGAGATGGAAAATGGCACTTATCTCGACACTAGAAAGTGGTACAATGAGATTGTCTTAGGGCCATTTCAGGCCCTTGTCACTAAGTTGGTCTGGACATTTTGTAGAACTGTACAGAGCAGCTTTACAAGTTGCACATTTCTTATAAGAAGTTTTAAAACCCATAGCTGCAGTTTCATGCAGACATGAGAACTGTGGTTCCAGTTTTATTACAGTAATAACCTTTCACCTCAGGGTTTTAGGAAGAGGAAAGGGTTTTATACAAAAAAAAAGTGCTACCGTTCTGATCGATAATTTTAGACAATTAGAAAGGATGAATTGTATAGATTGGTTGTATTATAAGGCAAATATTTTAATTATTTGTTATCCTTTTGTATTGCAAGGATTATCTTAATCTCTGTGGATATAATAGAAATCATTCAAGTTGATAGTCTGAAATGGCTGTATGTATTTTGTTAATAAGGAAGTACAACTTTTCAGTGATTCATTTTATTAACACTTTATTTGAGGAAGCAGATTGATTACATTTGGTGGGGGGAGAATATAGACTTAAGTTTCTTGGAAAGTACAAATTTTGTGACATGTTCTTTTGAGCTTTAGCCCTGCTCGAACTCAATTTTAGGGTTGTTTTTTTTTTTTTTTTTGCTAGTCTTGGGCTTGAATTCAGGGCCTGGGTGCTATTCCTGAGCTGCTTTTGCACAAGGCTAGTGCTCTGTCATTTGAGCTACAGCTTCACTTCAGGCTTATTTGGTAGTTTATTAGAGATGAAAGCCTCAGACTTCCTTTCCTGGGCTGGCTTCAAACCATGATACTCAGATCTCAGCCTCCTGAGTAGCTAGGATTATGGACCAGAACCACCTGTGTCTGGCAGATTTTAGAATTTTAAAAAAATTAAATCATGGGGGCTGGAAAGGTGGCTCAGTGGTAGAGTGCTTGTGTAGCATTCATGAAGCCCTGGGTTCGATTCCTCAGTACCACATAAACAGAAAAAGCCAGAAGTGGCGCTGTGACAGCTCAAGTGGTAGAGTGCTAGCCTTGAGCAAAAGATGCTCAGGGGACAGCACCCAGGCTCTGAGTTAAAGGCCCAGGACTGGCAAAAAAAACAAACCCAAAAATCATGTTTCATGTAAGATGGGCCACTCAGGAAGGTAAATATCTCTACTTGTATATTTTTACATTAAAAATTACAGTATTAATGTAAATCTCTTTAAGAATAACAATTCATAGGTAAAATAGTAAAACGTTTTACTCAAATTGCTCTTTTGGAAAAGTTCATGGAAGCCTTTATGTGCTGCCTCTATCAGTCAGACTTCATCATTTTTGACTTTTCAAAGTGCCCAGAACAACAGGGGGTGTAAGGGTACAGTTTATTATGGAGCTTGTACAGGTTTCTATGTGTGTGTGTGTGTGTGTGTGTGTGTATATATGTGTGTGAACGTGATTGGGAAGAAAGTTAACATTTTCTGATTTAAAAACTTTTAATCTTTATAGAAAATGTTTTGTACCGAGGTTATGTTTCCGTTTCCTTGCACAATTGTTTATAAAAATTCACTCTGAAAAATCTGGGTCATTTTACTATTAACCCACAGCATTTGTACCGTGTTGCTTTTTAATATATTAAAAACAAAAAGGAATGTGTCCTTATTTTGGCATCAATAACTTCAGAGATATTTGTTCAGTAAGCTCATGCTGCTCATATTCATACTTTATTGGGGTGAAGATTATTAGTCTTTTATAATTATAGTCCTGTAATATTCCCATCACCACACATAAAACCAAAGCCCATATTGATGGGCTTTGGATGGATAGAGTAATTTTTTCCTCCTACTGGCTTTCATACTGAAGATCCCTTGTGACTTCTTCATTCACACCTTCAAAGTAACTGAAATAAGAACCTGTAAATGGATTCAGCAGAACACCCTCAGAGGAGTCAGTGTAGAGCCACAATAGGAAAATGAGTGCAAAGATGACAGTAAAAATGAAGGGAAAACTGTTTTAAGATTTTCTGAACAATGACCAAATTCTGAACAACCATTAGATCCTATTGTAAAAAAACTGCATGTCATGGTATATTGTGCCATTAATGTGTTCCAGATATGTGAATATTCTTGTTTCAGTAAGATTTGGATCTATGTTCATGAATGACATGTTGATTTAAATTACTTTGGTTGGTTCTAGTCTCTGCTATTGGGTGCCTTATTTGATGGTGTGCTAGTCCTTGTGAATTATTATGTTATTGTGTTTCTATAAATATTTATGAACTTTGCTCTGAGACACTTAAGTTGTATTTTTTCAGGGCTTTGATTTCAGTATTTTGGGTGACTTCAGAAGCATATTGCCTCAATTTTAATTTTAATTGAGGCAAGACATGGCGAGGAATGAGTGTCCCATGTATGAGTTACAGAATTTTCTGCTGGCAAGTGAGAATATACTGTTCTGGTGTTACATAAGTGCTGAGTAATGACGAATCTTTAGGGATTGACCCCTGTATGCTGATACGCATTCTCATGGAAACTAGAGGCAGCCGGTAGGCCCCTTCTTTTGTATTGGATGTTCTGTTTGCCTTGTTTTCTTATCCACTTCCAGTTGTGTTTCCTCAGCTCAGGAAATTGAGGGCTCCTGGACACAGCCTGCCCTGCCTCAAGCCTTCTACAGTATAGCCTGGAGATACTCTCGGGGTAGCTAGCTGAGGCAATCCTAGGGCTCACTTTCGTTTCTCATTTTTCAGGGCTCACCGTCTTTTGTTCCTCCTCTATTTTGTCTTAAGAATCTTGCCTGTGTATTGTTTCTGGAAGATGGTAAATCTTACCTCTGTTACTTCATCTTGGTCAAAAAATAGAAGTTAATCTTTATTATCTAAAATTCAAATTTTGTTTTGATTAACTGCATTGCATTTCTGACACTATCTAGAGTTAGGGCAAACTTACAAGTTAAAGGATTAATTCTCTGAGATTTCCTACACTTTAGACTGCAACCACAAGCTCAGGATCTCCAAGGCTACAAATTCAGGTTAACCTCTTAAGGTTTGATCACTTACTCTTAAAGAGAGTCTTACAGGATTAGGATCCCTTAAAGCCCAGCCCATGAATGTTTCTATACAAGCAATTTTACTTTCTATAAATCAAATTTAAAAGAAACTAAGAAATGGAGACCGTTTCTTACAAATTAAGACACATATAAAACTAGCAAAATAGGTTGGGCGTTGGTGGCTCATGCCTGTAACCCCAGCTACTCAGGAGGCTGAGATCTGAAAGGCAGTTAGAGGCCTGGCCAGGCCGGAGGTCCTTGAGACTTATCTCCAATAAACTCAAAAAACCAAACTAAAACAAAACCCGGAAGTGGTGCTGTGGCTCAAGTGGAAGAGCTCTAGTCTTGAGCAAAAAAGCCCAAAGACATCTAGCAGGCCCTGGTTTCAAGCCCCGGGACCAGTACAAACCAATGACTCAATAGGCAAAGCAGTTACAATATACATTATCTATGTACATTGTCCACAATATGCCTTTATGCATGTATATGTTTCAGTAATCTTTTAAACAGTTTGTGGCCCTGGTGAATTGAGTATATCAAAAGAATAGAAGAAATCCAGCTTACTATCTTTAAAGCACCCATTAGGTAACAAAGTTCTTTCTCAGAAAACACATTTCTCAGGCAGGAGTTCTATATTGTCACTACCACTAGTTTTGAAACCTGTGGCAGAGCAGTTTCAGAAAAATATAGCATATATTACTTAGAAGACTGAACATTTTTGACAGTCACCCTTTGCAAACTATCAAAATTTAAGGGATTCACCAAATTTGACACCTTAGAGTCTAACTTTTTTTTTTTTTTTTTTTTGGTGGCCCTCTTCCAGGAAATGATAGAAACTCTGAAACTGTCATGGGTGATTAAGAACAGTTTAAAAAACAAAAGGAGAGGACAGCTGTTTTCGTGCATTTTAATTGAGTTAGTAATATAAATGGTACAGAAGGCTGACTGAGACCTTTGAAGGATGGAGATGACACCAACTAAACTGCAACACAGCTCACATTCCTCCAGAAGGAATGGGCTTCTGCCAGTGATGGAAAGGGGACTTTTATATAACTCCTGGCACGTGAGGAGTGATCTCTTAATAAAGATCCCATTTAAGGACTTGTAAATAATGACAGTAGGATTGGCCCAGTAGCTCAAAATAGCACATTGCTCTTGGGTTCCAAGTAAATGAAAAAACAAAACCCCAAACCAATTATCTCATTTCCTAAAAACCACTTAGTCTATGGAAGAAAAGGAAGGTGAATTTAAAAAAAAAATGGGGAGAGGTAAGCAAAGAAGGACATACTTAAAAACTAAATCAGATTTTTTTCCCGACCATTAGAAGTAGAACGGTTTTCTTTCTTTCTTTCTTATTGCAACACCTTGACTTAGAATTCATCAAAACTCAGGAAATAACTCCTGGAAGCAAACAAACTTCGCTGTGAAAAACATGCGCGTCCAGCCACATCCGAAAAACACGTGGCGGGGTGGGGGTGGGTGGGTGGGGAAAGCTGCTGGTCCACAGCAGGACTACCAGTCCCATCAGCCCCTTCGGCAGCCGAATCAAGCCGCGGAGGCAGATCTGGCGCGCGGGATGCAGGGACTTGTGGTCTTTGCTCTTTCACCTCCCTCCTCCCATCCCCGAGGCTTTGCGACGTTTAGCGACTGTAGCGCCTGCGCGCGGCCGGCGGCTGGGCTGGGGCGGCGGCGGCTCGTGCCGGGCGATGCTAGGCGGCTCCCAAGGCGCCAGGCTGTTGCGGAGTGTGGGTGGGCGGCGCGGGCAGTTCGGGGCGCGAGGTGTCCGCGAAGGTGGCGCAGCCATGGCGGCGGGGGAGAGCATGGCTCAGCGGATGGTCTGGGTGGACCTGGAGGTGAGTGAGGTGGCTTCCGCCCGGGGAGAGCGGCGGGTGTCAGGGTCTCGGGTGCCCAGGTGAGCGCGGCCCAGGTGTGGCGTGGGGGGTCCTGCAGGTGTGGGGCACGGCTGCGGGGCGGGGGGCGCCCGGGTCTCCCGGGTGGGGCCGGAGCCCTGCAGACGCGGGGCCGGCGCTGGGGGGTGGTTGTCAGGGTCTTAGCCGTCCCAGGTGAGCGCAGCCCAGGTAAGTGGAGCCCTGCAGGTGGGGGGTGGGGTGGGGGGCGCGGAGCTGGACGGCTGGGGAGTGGGGGGGATGTGGGGGTCTTAGGTGTCCCCGGTGAGCACCGCCCGGGTGCGGGGCGGGGGCTCTGCAGGCGCGGGGAGCGGGGGTGCCTAGTCAC